AATAAAAATAAACTCCTCCCCCTGGTTTTTATATAATATTATTATGCTTCCTTTAATAGATATAATAGAATATTTGTGATTAATATAGTTTTTGAATTTTAAAAATTACGTATTTCAGTACTTTTATATATAGTGTATAATGTATAATGTATAATATATAATGTAAATATACCTTTATATTGTAGACGATTTAGCATAAATAAATAATATTTGGCATAATTTTGATAAAATTATCCAGTAACTGCTTGATAATGACTAATGAAAATAGCGCACGTTCTATTTCAATAAAACAATATTAGTCATAACTGAAGACATAATAAAGCAGTTTTGCTTTACCAGTGTGCGGTCACGCTAAGAACGAAATACTACAGCGACGACTTCACATAAAATACAATTTGGTGTGCCCCACTGAACAAGAAAACTTTATACATATATCATAAATTGTAAAAGTTAATGAAAAATTTAACTAAAGAAGAACCTAAAAATATTACATTGGCCCTAGTAAATGTAGTTGGTGGGTGGGATGTTTATAAACTTGCTAACTCCTTCATCCTTGAGTTATGAAACTCAAGCCGTCACTGATAGCCACTAGTGGCGGTACCTCGCTGAAACTGCGATAGCGGACAGGCGTCTTCTTGCTTCTCTCAGACTTCGGTCTACGAGTGGAGAACAACTGCGGCTGTTCGACGAGTGGAAACCACCGCGACTGCTCGACGAGCGGATACCGCGAACATATAAAACACAATAGCCGGCGTCATTTCCCGTAATACACTAATACCACGACGGAAACCAAAACCTAATGGCACTCACAATAATATAATTGATGAGTAGGTATTTTGACAAATTGGGTATGTCGGCTGATCACAACAATGACAAATACGATATTATCACGTATCGTGAATCGTGATCACACGAAGTATTGCGGAGGCAATCGGGCAATGAACGTACGCGACGCGTATTTACCTTCAAGACGGAAAACAAAAAATCGATTACTTGCTTATGATTCTGATGATGCCAGCTGATTGCAGCAACAATAAAAACACAAGTCTCGCGATCACGCCGGCCTGCAAAATGAAACACCCGGGCCGGCGGCAAGATCACCGGTGAACTCGATGGCTCGCTAGGAGGGATATCGCGGTTCATTGAAGTTTCTACGCTCGCAGCGCAGCTTGTATGAGTCTTAATGATAAGTGCTGGCAGCAAAAATGCAAAAGTGTTCCGTGTTCGAACGCGTTATTACTTATTGCTTTACCTGATCTTGCTCGTATGCCTGTTGCTGCATGTCATAGTTTTCGCCGTTGATCATATCATCTTGCTCCGTTGACAGTATTGCCGGCTGAAGAAATCACTAACAAATAAATTTTAACTAGTATAACGATAGAAAAGGGTTTTGAAAGTGACGTTTCTGTTTCATAGTGTTAAAAGCAGAAGGATTCAATTTTGACCTTCCACACCGTGTTAATGTTTTCATATGAACGACGAACTGTTCGTTGACACAAAAAAAACCCGAATATGTTCATTAATTTTTCATAAAGCTCTTATGTTGACACAGTGGCCATTCGCCACTCTACTATTTTTTAGATAATTTGTGTCATTTTGAAGTTTTGAACTAGTCACTTTGTTCGTACTGCGCTGTAATCATTCGAATCCACAAATACCACAATAACCCAACAAACTTTAATCTAAAATGGAAAGACATAGGTACCTACACTTATTTTTTAGTTGAGTATCGGCAACCTATGTTATTATATATAAGAAATATAATAGAAATATTTTGATAAAAAATGAAAGGCACCAATTGGCAATTAGGCTTCTAAAATCTACTGTTATAGACAAAAATATAAACAGTCCTATACTTGTAATGTGTATTTTTTATACTTGTAAAAAACTTAATTTTTCAATAAATACGAGTAAACGGACAAGAACAATTTTTTTTATTACTTAGGTAGCTATACTTTTCTTAGTATTGTAATTTTTAAAGAGTGTTATGAATTAATTGGATATATTATATTTACATACGATACATCCACACCAGAGGTAACTAGGTATCAAACATTATACAAAATATATAATTATGGTAGACTATTGAGATAGAAACAATTACATATATTTTCTGATTAATAAATTGCATTAACTAATGGATAAATAAATTAAACTACTTGGCAATTATATGTCCTATATAAAAAATGTAATGTTATAAAAATAAATCATAGGTATAACTATGAATAACCTATAAAAGGTATTAAAACAGAAAGAATGTTTTTAATGGAATGTTTTTGGGAAGACATTTTGAACATAATATAATCATAAGGAAAAATCACAACTAAAGAACTACAATCATTGTTGTTGCTCGTGAAATCATATTAGAACATGTTTGTTGATTGTCCAAAATAAAAACATAATCAATGGTCAATACACATATATGTTGTCACTTATCGGGTATCGATTTGTAACCATGTAGCCATGTAGGTACATAATATTATGGAGGTAGAGATGTCGGACGACAGCGCTACAAGAGCATGGCCCGAAGGTGTACATTTTAACTTTAATAATAGTTATAATATTATGATATACTATGTAGATCCGGACACTGTCCTGCGCCAACTGGGTGCAACAACTATAGTTTTTAATGAGCTAAAATATGCAGGCCCAACAAAAATCAAGTTGGAAAGTCGTGATTTCGCCGCAGGCATTGTAATTTGTAGTGCATATGACTTCAACTGGTGATACACCCGTCATCGCGGATTTGAACTAAAACGAACCGGCCGTTGCACATGGCCAAGATGTCACTATCAACGACATCTACATAATATTAATATATTTACACGTCATGTCCCGTCTTCTGCCTTGACCAAGTGTGCGTCCAAGTGTCAGCTATGTACCCATGTCGCTATGTCGCGACAGCCGTTTTTTATAGCATCAACTATCAAGTATTATTTTATTAATTACACTGACGGTTTATGGCCGTTTTCGTTACATGTCCACCTTAGCCGTAAGTGTCATCTTAATTTCAATGTACACTCGTATTTTGTTGTGTCACATTCCTCCTTGAACGCCACTGTAGTGCTCCCGTCGAATTTAAACATTTAATCAGCTTGTATGTGGTATGTCACGTTTGTTTGCGTTCCGTATCGCTGCAGTGTTCTTGCACGCCGTTCTTATACAATGACAAGTTATCCGCCCTTTTCCGTCCACGCATCCTGTAAACCGTGGTTTAGTGGTATACTTACCGTCGTGTTGCGTTTTCGTCCTTTGTCGAGTCGGTGACGGTCTAACAGGATAGTCATGGTATCGACCCACTGAGTTTCATTAAATTATTTATGTCTGTACTCATTTCTCATTATCATAAAAAGTAGAAGTTACCAATTAACACTCATAACTGGCCCATATTTTGAGTGGCCCACCGAGATTTCCTCGGCAGCTTGCCGATCCGACCATTGGCTGAATTTTTGAATGGCATACAATATTGAATATATTATTCTTCTGATGTATCCCGGGCGTTTTGTTTCATTCGAGGGTGTCAGCCTAATATCTGCCCGCGGATCACGATACATATTGTTACATACAACATATTACATTTAATTATTTAAATATTGGTTAGTGGTTACATAAACGATAAACAAATTATTATATTACTACGAGACATTCCTTGCTCATGCGCCGAACCTCGCGTTTCTGTTACCATATTTTTGAGCGCCACGCTACACGCTCTTTGCTGACCGCAATCGGATGACCGTGTTATTATATATTTATAATATTAAAATAGTGATCCGTCCAAAGTTAGATTATAATATAATATCGCACATGCAGTAGGAAGTGCAATCGTGCATTATTTACGTTTGATCCTTTCTGTGTATTACAACGTGCCTTAGGTAAAAGCGGATCCAAGTCCCTCACCGGCATGGGCGTAACTTGGACTCTATTCACGGGGGGGCAAAAATAATTTTTGAGAATCTCTATTAGAGATAATATATATAGCGAAATATTATACGAACTTTAGCCGTACCTTGTGTTCTGTGTACGGGGACGACTACGAATTGGTTCCCAATTGTCGAATTGGTACCCGGGTTGTCTACAGGTAATTAGGTAATATACGAATTGGTTCCCGGGTTGTCTATAGGTAACATACGAATTGGTTCCCACAAGCTTTCGCGATAATACAGTCTTGTTAAATTAACTTTTCAAATTATTATGATATATTCAACCAGCAAAATCCTTCCCTTTTATTCAGATTTAAGACTGTCTAGAATTCAAATAAGTTCGAATAGTTCAAACCCTATCTCGAATACCTAGGTATGGTTTAAAAATGGTCAAAAAAATTTGATGTTCTATAAATCGAAATGCTTGTATATTAGTAGTATTGTTCTAATTGGGTAGTAGGAAAAAACCAAGGGGAAATAATTGTTATCTTTTACACTATGAATGATACAAATCTGGTAAAATAATTTCTGGCAACTTTTAAAAGTTCCATCAACAAACACTGTTTTCATTTTGCTGAGTACCTATCTCGAAATTATGTGAACAAGTAAAAATCATTAATATAAGATTATCGATTGCACATTTACGTATCTTGTAACAGTTAAGCGTTATATACTGATAAACTGATAAGTAATTTTATTCGGGAATTAATTCGAACATATTTTGTATACTGGAAGTCTGGAAAGTATTTTTTTGCGGGAACCAAATCGTACACTTTAATTAATAATTGACCCGGGAACCAATTCCACGTTTGCCGTGTACGGAGACAACATAATATGCGGGTGCGACCTATTCTTAATTAAAAGCTATAAATATAATATAAAACATAAACATTGATATTGACTGATAACTGATTCTGCTATAAATAAATGAATATGGCTATAGCACCATAATAATATGTGGAACATGGTATTATCTTATTTTCATAATATTATTAGAAAATAATATTGTTGTTATGTGTACGGACTACGAATAACCAATTGCCAATTGGTCATTAGCGCGCAATCAGTTATACACTATTACAATATTGCATGTATGTCCCCTACGCTGTTTTACACTATTGTAATATTTATTACTTGGGTTCGTATTTGTATTATTCTTATCGTGTTCACTGTTGTCTGCTTGACGTTCCTTCAGATTGTTAATAATTGTATTGCATCAACCGTATACTCTTGTTTTCATTGTTTAAATTGTTTTAAATTGTAATACAATGAGTGATTGTGATTCTTCAACCGAAGTCGATCAGGTTGCAGATTTAGAAGAACCAATTTTACCCTGGCCAAATTATCAAAAATATTTTAAAGTATTAAGAGTCATTGAGGATATTTTTTTTACAAGAAGCTGAAAGTGAAGTGCTTAAGTTGTGTCGATACAAAGTGTTACAAGGTGGATTCACGTTCAAACTCTAATATAAGAAAACATTTAAGCGTAAGTACAATGTTAATTTCATACCTGCCTATGACAGTTGACCCATCTAATATCTTGCGTGTTAAAATAATTTTAAATACTACACAAATACCTAATATATTACAAAAATACATCAAAAAGTATAAGCACAGCTTTTTAAAAGTCAAATTTCAAGTGCTTAAGATGTATCATAGATCTCATTATTCTATATTATATATTTTCCTGGGCCCCCACACGAGTCATCTCAGAGGAATGGCGGACAGTTCCCCCCCGACTGTTTTTGGCGTAGTAGGACATTTTTAATCCAATTTATATTCTATGCGGACATTTTCCCCCCATTTTTTTTTTAAGTTTATTATTTATTATTTAATAAGAAATTATTTTTTTTTCAGTAAAATATAATTTTTTTTTATAAATACAATTTTTTTATGTCTTATTATATTTATGAAAAAATGGGGGGAAAATGTCCTACTACGCCAAAAACAGTGGGGGGAAATTGTCCGGATACCATCTCAGAGGGGCCCAGTATTCTTGTGCATATGAAATAAAATAAAATAAATAACCCTCTCCCCCCTCAAAAATAAATCCCAGTTCTGATCAAAAAATGTAAATTATTTATCAAAACTTATAATGATAAGTAAAAGGTTATATTATTTAATTTTATTCAGACACAACATTCAACTATATTAAAGAAAATTGATCACATTGGTAATGCAGCGAACAAAAACACTTTAAAGAGATGCAATGATGGATCATTGAAGCATATGCTGGTAGTTCTTTAAAACAATCAGATAAAAACAACCAGTGTTAGAAGATTTTTTGAAAAACAAAAAATTAACTAGTCAAAGTAAGAATGTGTACCTATTATTTATTTTTATTTTTTGTTTTATTAAATAGTTTTTAGTTGCAGCATTAACAAAAGTAGTTGATATTTACATGACTACATGACTATATACTGATACATTGCTAGTGAATGATACGGTTGTTAATGATTTAGAAGAAATCGACGCATTCAACTTGAACATTCTAAATGATGAAGACCATGATTTACCATATGTATCACCAAAACACCATCAATGTTGTGCACACACAATAAATTTAATAGCAACAATGGTAATTGAACATTTATTTAAGAAGGTAACCTAATATACTTAAATTATAAAATACTAAAAATATTTTTATCGAAAAGAATATATTTTGTGTAAGTTTAGTGATCAGGACAAAACTATTAGGTAGTAGGCTTAACACTTAATAATCATAATCAAATTTGTATGAGTTGTAATACATTTAAAAATTAAATTTTTCGTTCAATTGAAATGATAAAAATATTCTAAGATATAAGTATGAATATGATTGGCATTAACTATTTTCTATTAACTATACCCAAATTTAAATTTTAAATATCAATAAACCCCTCATCGCCAATCTATCCACTATCGAGCTACCCGATACAACTCGTAGATTAAAAAGAAAATGGTCCAGAGACCTCTTATCCTAAGGTCTAACATCGGTTTATAAACTTGAACTCTGATTATTACCTAGTTTTCTTTTTCTTTTCTCTTAATGTATTATGTTTTCCGTTCTACCTAGTCTTAACTGAAGAGGAAATATCAATGGATATTTTCTCTTATCATGTGAACTCATGTCAAAAATTCTATTACTCAAATTTACTTATTGTATTATATTAAATTAAATATAGATTGTAAATAAACATTTTTAATAAAAAAAAAAAAAATATCAATAAATTATGTTTGTTTAATTTTTATTATTAATTACAAATTTGTAGAAATTAAATACAAAATAAAATAATTTATTTGTATAACTTGTTATTTCTAGGACTCTAAAAAAGCTTTGTCTAATCTTGCATACAAAAAACAGTCAAGGAGTACTTTTGCCTAGTCTACCGCTTTGTGGAATAAACAAGGTCGCTCAACTAAGTCAGCTGATTTATTTAAACAAAATCTTGGTGTTTATTTAATTATATCCAACGAGACACGTTGGAATTCACTGTATGATGCAGTGATGCTGTTTAATAAATAAATTAAAAATAATGAACTTAAGTTTAGAATAATAATGGACAAATTGGCTTTTGGCAGGTAAATTATAAATCTTAAAAAATTATTAATTATTTTATCTATATTTTTTATGAACAATATTTTCAGATTTAATAGAAGTGATATTTATTTCATGTGTCAATATCAAACAATTATGGGGCAAATATCAATAAGCTTGGATTTACTCCAGGGTGATACTAACATGTACTTTGGTAATCTCCTACCTACAATTGAAGAATTAATTTATAAATATGAATTAATGACAAGTGATTAGCAGTTTCTAATTATTCGAAACCTCTGGTGACTGCCATACTTAGTGGTATGTAATAATTAATATTTTTTAAATTTATTAATCTTATTTAGCCAAGTACTTAAATTGTACACATTTAATTTCTTTTCATTTAAGCTTTTTTTGGTTTACTTTATTGGTAAATAGTAAATACTATTTACTAAGTAGTAAATATATAGTATCTCTTAGCTCTTACAGTCTTACTGATGTATAATGTAAAATTTTAATCAGCTGATCTATTATTTATATTTATATTTCTGTGTAGTACCTACATTTATATAATCATGAGCTAAAATAAACAAACTTTATTGATAATAATTTTTGTTTTTTAGGTATGAAAACAAGGTTTGCCGATTATTTGATACCAAATTTTTAATTACTGCTGCAGTCTGCCACCCACCATTTAAAAAAAAAGGGATTAAAAATGATATAAAAAAATAATTGGCACCAGAATATTTAAAAAGTGTCTGTTATGACTTACATACTAGTGATAATGACAATAATGATGTAGAAGATAATCAAATGAAAGATAATTTATCTACCTTTTTTACCTGGTCACAAAATTCTCGAGAGGAAAAATCAACAGTTGGTGATGAAATAGATAGATATTTGGGCACATCTTCAACAAAGACTAGAATGTTTGCATCATTTACCCACTATCAAAAAAGTTAGATTAGTTGAAAACTTCTTATACTATTAGTAGTTATATTACAAAAACATTTGTACTTATTTTTCAGGTATTGGTGAAGTACAACACTCCACTACCTATCAGTGCATCAGTAGAGAGCATAGGCGGTCCCAGGATTTTACTTCAGGTGCAGCCGTGCAGCATAGATGGCTAATTTCTAAATGTTAGGGGTATTGGAAATGTGTACGAAGTTAGATTTACTGAGTATCAATGAACCATAATTTACTTTAGACTATTATATATAATTTTTGAAACTAGTAAACTAGTAATTTCCTTTCCTCCGAACTTGGTTTTTTTTTCATATTATGATAATTAATAATTATAGATGTGATCGCACGTGACTATAAATACCACTGTTAGCCTAGGGTCTTTCTCACTTTAATTCTGGCTTGATCATCAGATCTACGAGCTAACAACTATCCAGTGTTGGGTAAATTACTTTCGATAAGAAACTAATTACGTTACCTACTTATATTACATTAAATATTTTTATTTAAATTACATAATTCGCGTTTCCCGACATTATTTTTATCACGTTATGTTACTTTTTCATTCAAAAAGTAATGCGTAATGAATTGTTACTTTTTCAAAATTTAACGACAAACTCAGTCCATAACGAATGTAATAAAAAGTAGGTATACTATTAATTATTATATATAAATTTTATAGTAGTATATGTAATACATTAATTATGTAGGTACACTATATTGATAATGGATGGATGTAATACACATGAATAAAATACGTAAAATGCGTGCATATTTTATAATATTCATCATTATTATCTAAAATTTTCAGAATAGTAAATACATTTTACCGATTTTTAATTTTTCTCGATTATCTTAACCCTTAGTCTATGTCATGGACTCTACATTCATAACTTATTTTAATAACGTGGAAAATAACAAGTTGCTCCAAAGAAATTACTTTTATAAGAAATTTCGTTACAATTGCATTAATTTAAATAGTATATAATCAAATTACTACAGCGTTACTGGCTACTACAATAGTAATTTGTATTCTTCGTTACGTTACTATCCAACACTGAAACTAACAAAGTAACAACTAAGTTCATGATCAGAACAATATATCGTAAAATAACAAAGATATAAACTATAAAATATCTATACCTTATGAGTTATGAAAAGTTATATGATTTCAACCAATAAAATAAAGTGGTGGTTGTAATGTCAGGTGGAGCACAGGCTGCAGAGGCTGCACCCGTAGAACCGCCTATGGTAGAGAGAGTGTTTAGTGTTGTTGATGCAACAATACAAAAAAAGAACAAATATGACGGATCAACATTTTGAACAAATATTGTTCTTAAAATGCAACATTCAAATGTTCGATTAATATAATATATTATGAATGATTCAGAATTAAATTGATTTTTTTGTTTTATATTTGAAAATTATTTCCAATACTTTACTATAGATAGTATTTCTGTTGTATTTTAAATACTTTATTTTATAAGTATTTGAGTAATTACTCAAATACTTTTTAAAAGTATTTTTTACAACACTGATCAGTATACATAAACCTAATCTTGTCCCCATATAGTGTCTCTGCGTCACATTATAGTGATAGTCTTACATTTTTGTCTTGGAAACATCGAGCAAACAAAATCTTTAACAAAATATTGTAAATAAGTTAGTAAATGTTGAACATAAAAATGTTAAGTATATTTACCATTCTAGATAGGTTTATCAAATTTAATAAACTTGTTCTCTTGATTGACTGCGTTAGGTTATCACTGTAATTGGTACAGAGTTCAAAAGTGGCCTTTTAAATTAACTTCTTGTATAGCCCTTGGTATAGCCCATTGTAGGTAAACAAGGGAGAAAATAATGATAAAAAAAAAAATCACAATATACTATGTAATATTATGTAAGTTTTTTTATTTGTTAAAAATCTATGAATTTTTTTTTTGAAGTCATAAAATTAATATAGTTTTTTGTGGTTTTCAGTTCAAATGGGTCTTCTGTTCATTTTTATACCAATTTTTTAGAGCCATGTCAACACATGAACAATATCCTTGCGGATTTAGTTTTGTGAGATAAATTCCAGATAACATATATGATAATTGTTATTATTTGTACAAAGAAAAGTGTTAAGCTGAAGATTTTGCTTAAATATCATTAAAATATAATGTAGGTAGGTATCTGCTGTATAAAAATTAATACTATTTTGTAATGGTGTTAAGTTTATATATTAAATGGTGCTGAACCAATACAGCTAAATAAAAAACTCCACGCACTGCAAGTACTTTTAAATTTAACAATAGCAAAAATGTAGACGTATTTTGTTTATTGTTTATTTACATGTTTAGCTAAATGAAGGTGACAAAATAGATCAAACGGTATGGGACAGGTATTAAACTTCTAATGAAAAAAAAATTTAAAAAAAAAACATTAATAATTTCTACTTATTATCATACATTTACATTAGAGTCAATTACTGTTTTTGATAAAATATACCAACAAAGTTTTGGTTTTATTTTCTATAAGCCAAGTATTCAAACGTCATTTGTTTATTTTTTGGAAATATTTGTCTTCGGGTTAGATAAAGGTATTCATCTCGTTAATAACAATTAACTTCAGCTACTTTTGACAGTTGATTTACAAAAACTTACTATTTTATTAAACTAAATTATACAATAATCCCACAAATAAATAAATATTACAAATAAAACATTTTTAAAAAACAAACAAACAAATTTTGTATTTTTTGAACTTAATATTTTTATATTATAATTAAGGTAATTGCAATTTTTCTTATTCGTAAATATAAAATTATGAACAATAAAATAAAATATGAAATTCTTAAAATATTATTTAAGAAATCAATTTCCTAAAATATTTAAAAATAAATAAAATTTCCCTGGAGGATTGATTTACCCGACTTAAAGATTAAATTATACCATTTAACTGTCCAGCAAGTTGTCCATATTATTTTTTTGACAAACATTTGATCTTTAATTACTGTATATAGTTTGTGGGCTAATATTATTACTTTTTACTTAACTCTATACAGGATGTAGATAGTCGATGATTTTTATTTATTATCTTTTTGATATGCCAACAAAATAATTTTTTTTACATTATTAAAATTGCAATTTCATCTATTAAAACAAAAAAATGGAAATAGTGACTACTTGGATAATGAATATTTCCATTCTTTCAAATAATTATTTTGTATTCAAACCTAGTTTACTAACTAAAGACTTATATTTATGTTTGAACTAGAATTACCTAAGTGATTTGATTTAATTTTGTATAGTTATGATAAGAAACAACTAATAGAAGATTTGATTAATGATTCCACAAATTTAACTTTTGGGGGGTCACAAACAAATGAACAAGTTGACTTATGATTCTTATGATCAAAAAATTCACTAAATCAGTTCATCAAAGTAAACATGTCCTATCTTGACTACTCAACATTGTATTCTTCAGTTCATAAGCAACTAAAAAATATATATAATTATATTTTCAATTTCAGCCACCTATATAATTTTTTTTTTTTAATACATATAGGTATACAATTTTAAATAATTTTTTAAAATTTTTTAATAATTTATCCATTATTTATGTGTCTATATCGTATAACTAATGTACCTACTACATTAAACATAAAATACATACAGATTTTAACAAGTAAATGCAATTTTTAACTGTTATATGGCTTAAAGTTTGAAAAAAATTACAACTGATATTAATTTATGTACGTTTGAAAACTGCCTTTAAAACAAAAATATTACGAATAATTGTTGTTGAACATATAATGAAAAGAATTAAACCGTATTGGAAATGCATATCACTTGGATCATGTGTTACTATATCAGCATGGTACGATGTGACGTCACATGTGACTTATTATTTAGGTACTTAATTTAACAAATTTTTTGGCATTAACTAATTCAAATTGGTCTAGTAAATTCATGTGTATCTAACTAACAAACCTAAAATGTTCATGATTTTTTTTTTAAAAATACTACCTACCTATTTTAAGAAATACCCACAGCGACTTCTGCAAAGTATAAACTATACTTGTAGTACTTAATTCAGGGGCGTCATTTCAACTTTTCAATAGGGATGCAAACATTTGAATCAGGCCAATTGTTCCCTCCACCAGGCCATTTATATATCCTGTTTATTTAGCGGAACTTAAAAAAATTTCCGATCGCTTCGCTCACTCATATCCCCACATTTTAATATTCAAATACTCATTAATACTTTTTTTTCAAACATATTTAACCAATTTCATATAAATAAAAAAAGATATATTTAATAATATTCATTGCCTAATCATTGTCACCAACATAAAAATAAAAATAATAGATAATATTAATATATTATTAACTATTAAGTATACACCAGATTCGAGGACGCGACGCGTGACGGCGCAATTATAACATTTTATACGAGCCAACCAAATATTTAAAAAAATAGGGCTGCCAATGTATAGTCTGAATCCCCCAAATGACGCCCCTGACTTAATTTGTAGGGAAAGTTTTTAAAATATAAAACAATAAATATAGGTAGGTACGAGAGAAGCGATACATTTTTTCCCCCGTCACTTACCTTTATGTGAGAGCTTTAGTTAGGTTCCTACACGGCTGTATATAGGTACATAATATACTATTTATTACACTATAGTGTAGTAGTATAATATAACCACACAATTTTGTAGCAAATACATCGGTGACTTCATACTATTATAGAATATTATTGCCTGATAACATATTAATGCCGAGCCTAGAGGGAATATTATAGGTGCGATTAAAATATCCATTTTTTTATTACTTCTGTAAATTTCAAAGCCTCATTTTGAATTTTTTTCAAGTCTCGACACTTCTAGAGTCTTATGTTAAGTTATAGTTTAACCGTTAAGATTAAAAACAATATTGTTAGATGCCGGACGTAAAAATTGACTCGCGACAGTAGTGTATATCTAAAAATCTAAATGGCCTATACTCAGAGTGCCGTGTTCTGCATTGTATAGATTTAAACACTCTCAGTAATATTCTGTTTCAGAATTTGAAATAAAAAATGTATCGTGAAATCCAAAGAAATCAAAAACTCGAAAACTGATGACAACATATTATATTATAATACATATAATCTATGGCAAAAGCCGATCGTCGTCACTCGCCGGAGACGATTCGCAATTCTAATAATTTCATTGAACAAAAGAGAAATGTGTATGGCAACAATAAACATTTATTCGCATGTTTCATTTTACTCAAGTAATTTTTATAAAAAATCTCGATTTTTTCAATTCGGATTTAGATGAAGG